ACCGCATGCATCGATCGGCAAGCCTCGAACCAAAGGTCACTCTTGCCCAGGGCCATTCCTGCGTGCAGCAGATTTGGGCGTCGATCGAGTCGTTTTGTCCCTATGCTCGCCATGGCTCATCTGTAGGGCCCCAGCACAGAGCCTGTCGACCCTAGGCCTCCCCAATGGGCTCCAGGCAGACGGGGTCTGAGGACCGCTCCGCACGTGCATCGGCGATTCGTTTCGATGTGGTTGCCCGTCTTTCTGCACGCGGACGTCGCCGCTGCATCGCCGCTGCATTGCCCATGCATCGCCGATGCATCGGCGACGCGGCGCAATCCTCCGACACCGCTTACTCCGACCTCATCACGGGCCTCGCGCAGTGGGGGAGGCGGCAGCGAGGGCTGCAGAAAAGGGGCCCCTGGGGCTCCGAAAGGGGCCCCTCGGGGTCCAAAAGGGTGCCCTTGGAGGGCCTGAGAAGTGCACCCTTCCTCCCTCCACCGTGCATCGCCCCCCCCCCCCCCCCCCCCCGCAAGCGACGCCCAGCTCGTCTGGGACCGAGGCCTCTGTCGACCCACTGGCGGGGGGCGAAAGGGGGCCCCACCCCGCGCTCCTGGCGGGGGGCGAAAGGGGGCCCCACCCCGCGCTCTCGAGGCGCTGCGGCAGCAAGGCTTCCACGGCCGCCGCGGCCCCCTCCCGTGTGCGGCCTGTCGTCCTTCGTGGGCCGAGTACGGCGTCTGATGGGGCTCGCCTTGGCACGTGTCCCTCCTCGCCTTTTTCAGTGTGGGGACATCAGCCGCATCCCCATGTGGTCGCGCCGCCAGCCCAAAGAGAGCGCTCGCGCCATTGTGGAAACTTGAGGGCCCCACGGTCCCGGTGATGAGCTCGAGTCGGGTCTCATCATGACGCGTCTGCCGTGCGCTGGCGTGCCGTGCCCTGTGGCATATATGCCGCTCAGTGCTGTGCCGTGCTCTGTTGAGTGGCGTGCAGTGTTTCGCCGTGCAGTAGGCTCTGACCGATGTTACGGATTCAATCACAAAATGCTTTCACGTGCCCTCTCTCGGTCTGCGAGGACGCCAAGGGGAGCGCCGAGCAGGCTGACCAGAAGCGCTCGAAGCCACAGAAGCTCAAGAAGAAGCCACAGAAGAAGGCTCTGGATGGCGGCGTGCCTGGGGGATCAGCTGTCTCTCACCCGTTCCTCATCCTCGTCCTCCCATTCTTCCCAGTCTTCTCCCCGGTCTTCCCCGCTCCGAAGTCAAGCTGCTACCATGAGGAGCGCTGAAAAAGGAAGGACACCTTTCTAGGCCCCTAAAGCGCCTAGGTGCACGAGGGGCACTTGCAGACCAGCCGTGGAAGAACCCACGGAACAGCGAGCCCCTTCTCAACCCGAATTGTTCCTCACGTCAGCATCCTGACTGTGCTCATCCTGCTCCCAGGTCTCCTGCGCCTCCTCCGCTCTTTCCCTTGGATCGGCAGCACGTGCGCGCCCTAGCCTGCGTGCGCGGCTGCCGTGCAGGCCGTCGGGTCTCGACGATCTCGGGGCGTGTTCGCGAGTCGCCTTCCCGCCTCCAGCCTGCGCCCACGGGTCATCTTGATCCTGCTCCTGCTGCCGGTCTTGCTCCTTTCGGTGCCACTGCCCCTGCTCCTGTCCTCCCCGACAATCATCGCTTGCACTCTCGTTCTGGGGCCCTTTAGCGGACACGCCATTGCACAGAGGTAGGGGTGCCCACCAGGTCCTACGGGGTGGCAGCAGCAGCAGCAGCAGCAGCAGCAGCAGCAGCAGCAGCAGCAGCAGCAGCAGCAGCAGCAGCAGCAGCAGCAGCAGCTGGGCAGGAGCACGAGCAGAAGGGGCTGCCTCACGAGCGGGCTGAGGATGCTGGTGGAGGGTGGAGGCGGAGCAGAGGAGGAGGAGGAGGAGGAGGAGGAGGAGGAGGAGGAGGAGGAGAGAGGAGGAGGAGGAGGAAGGAGGGGGGGGGACGGGAGAGAAGGGGAGGAGCAGGAGGGGAGGAGAGGGAGCAGGAGGAGGAGGAAGAGAGGAGGAGGGAGAGTGAGGGAGGAGGAGGAGGAGGAGGAAGATAGGAGGAGGAGGGGAGGAGGAGGAGGAGGAGGAGGATGAGGAGGAGGAGGAGGAGGAGCCGAAGGAGGAGGAGGAAGGCGGAGCGGAGGAGGAGGAGGAGGAGGAGGAGGAGGAGGAGGAGGAGGAGGAGGAGGAGGAGGAGCAGGAAGAAGGAGGAGGGGGAGGAGGGAGGAGGAGAGGAGGGAGGAGGAGGAGGAGGAGGAGGAGGAGTGAGGAGGAGGAGGAGGAGGAGGAGGAGGAGGGGAGGGAGGGGGAGGCGGAGGCGGAGGAGGAGGGGGAGCAGGAGGGGGAGGAGGCGGACGGATTGGCGGAGGCGGAGGAGGAAGGGAGGAGGAGGAGGAGGAGGAGGAGGAGGAGTAGAGGAGGAGGAGGAGGAGGAGGATAGAGTGAGGAGGAGGAGGAGGAAGGAGGGGGGGAGGGCGGAGGAGGGGGGGGAGGAGGAGGGAGGAGGAAGGAGGAGGAGGAGGAGGAGGAGGAGTCGGCGGAGAGAGGAGGAGAGGGGGAGGAGGGCGGAGGAGGAGGAGGAGGAGGAGGAGGAGGAGGAGGAGGAGGAGTAGGAGGAGGAGGAGGAGGAGGGTGGAGGAGGAGGAGGAGGAGGAGGAGGAGGAGGAGGAGGAGGAGGAGGAGCAGGAGCAAAGGAGGGGGGCGAGCATGCGAAGGTGGTCTAGGATGAGGGCCGTGCAGGGGGCGGAGTGTGTGCGGGCCGGCCGGGTGGACCTGGAGGGGCCCGCCCCCACTCGCGCTGGCCCCTCCGGCCCCGCCCCTGCCAGCGAGAGCCCAGAGCGCGCCTGCCGTGGAGCCTGGTGTGCACCCTCAGGGGGCCACATGCGAACCCTACCCCTACCCCCCACGATTTCCGAGGGGGAGGGTGGGGCTCACTTCGCTCGGGAGCTCCCGAGCGAAGTGAACCCCACCTTCCCTCTCAGAAATCGTGGGGGGTAGGGGTAGGGTTCACATGTGGCCCCCTAGCCTGGTGTGCACCCTGTTGCTCGACTCCCTGCGGACGACGGGAGCAGCCGCAGCAGCAGGAGCAGGGGGACAAGGAGGAGGAGCACGTGTCCCTGCTGACCCATGCATCCTTCCCCTCGTTCGCCTGTAGCTTGTGTAGTCCCTCCCTCCGCGCGTGCGCCCCTGCTGCTCTGTTGAGATGCGCGCGGGAGGTCATCAGCTTGCACGGCTTTTCTGCATGCACTGGGCTTGAGCACTTGGCACTTGCATGCTAGTGGCGACGCATCCGCGCCTGCGGGAGCATGATTACACAAACAACGATGAGTAAGATAAGCCATCCGCTTGCTAGGGGCCAGGGCGGGGGCGGGGGGGGGATGTGACCGCTTTCGGCAATTATCGGGCCTCCCTTCTCCTATCCATTCACGTTTATGTAGCCTTCCATCCTCACTCCCTGCAGAGTGCAGAGCTGCATGTCGTATCGTTTCGTACCGCATCCTGCATGTGAATTTTGCGCATTCTCTATTTATCAGAATTCCACGCTGTCTGGCTGGTAGGCGGATTGCTCACCCACGCCCTGCCTAGGGCCGAGCAGCCGATACCCCTCGGTCGTTGAAATGATTGGATTCCCAGATTACGATCTACTTCAAGCGCCTTCCTACTTCGATGATCGAGTGGCCTCACCCTTTCCGTCCTCCCCAGGGGGCGCACGGAACCCCACCTGCTTGCAACGCCTTCCTGCCTCATGTTCCTCCCCGCCTCTCCCGACCGATGGGGTGGTCGGTATTCCACGCCGTCTGGCTGGTACGGTAGGTTCGTGTCGTGTCGACCGGCGGCGACCCCGCCACCGGAGTTCAATGTTGAACGCCGGCGGCGGCCCAGAATCGATCGATGTTTGAACAATGGACGTGCGGGAACGGAAACGCCGATCGTCCAGGTTGAAACGATCCCCGCCCCCCCCCCCCCCCCGGTCGGTCAAGGAAACAACGCCGGGGGTCGGCACGCCAAGACGGTCTGCGTAGGGGGGGCACTGTGCTGGCCCGCGCCCTGCCGGGGCCGAGCCGCCGAGTCGCAGGCCTGCTCGCGAGGCCCGCGGGGCCCGCGGGGCGCTCTAGGCGTGGTGGGGCGGGCGGAGCGCGGAGGCACCCTCCGAGAGGGCCGGACCCGCCCGCCCTCCGTCGGTCGGGGGGCACCGGGTGTGTGTAGCAGGCGAACCCCCGCGCTGCCTTCACGCCGTTTCTTCGTCCTCCTCCTACCTCTCCTCTGGTCTTCCTCCGCCGTCCTCCTCCTCCTCCTCCTCCTCCTCCTTCTCCTCCTCCTCCTCCTCCTCCTCCTCCTCCTCCTCCTCCTCCTCCTCCTCCTCCTCCTCCTCCCCTCCCTGGCGCGCCCAGGGGGGGGGCCCCAGCGCCGCTCCAAGAAGGCCGCGTGGGCCTCCGAAAGTCTGTGCTCGTGCAGGGCCCTGCTGCCTGGTGTTACGTCGGGCCTGTCCCCTTCCCGCCGTCCTCCTCGTCCTCCTCCTCCGGTTCCTCCTTCTCCCGTTCTCCCTCGCCCTCGGCGCTGCACTGTGTGGGTGCAGCCCTCGGGACGAGGCCGAGTCTCTCTCGGGGTTGGAGCGCGAATGCGTCGACGGCAGGGTGTGCCGCCCCCCCACGAAGACCCCGACCCCCAGCTCGTTTGGAGGTTAGCTGTCGCACGGTGGATGAGGTGGTACCTTCATAGCCCGTGCCGAGCTCCTCTCTCTCGGCGTAGTGCGCGTCTGCCCCACCCGCTGAGTGAGGAAGGAAACGTCTTTCAAGTGTGAAGCCGTTTTCTGTCCAGTGCCGTGCCTATCCAGCCTTGCCGCCTATTTTTTTGTTGTTGTTGGTTGTTTTTTGTTACCCTGGACTTCGGTGCTTGGCGGCATCCAAAGTTGGACGATAGTGTTTGAAGCATGCTGCTCGCACCTATCTTCTCCCTGCAACCAAAAAACGACCACGAGAAGGCTGACGGCCTCGACCCGAGGCCGACGAGGAGACGACCGAGGAGACGACCGCAGAGAAGTTCGAGCCGCCCCCTCGTGCCGAGGAGGAGGAGGACCGTCGCCGACGGGCCGCGGCGGAGACGCGGGTGCTGTCTCCGCGGGCCGCGCGGGGGGCTCAGAGACGCTGGGCACGCAACGCGGCCCAGCGATTGCGATACAGTGGGGACGCGCATCAAGGAACTAACTTCAAGCAGTGGCGAAGCGTCCTGACTCGCCTATAGCCCTACCAAACAATGTTCTAAGAACCTTTCGTGGTTTCGACGATATTCTTAGAACATTTCTGGCGGAGTCTGTCTTGTTTTAACACATCGGGCTTATGTCCTAAGAACATTGTTCTTAGAACAGTTGTGGGTTCTAATAACAGTTCCTGGTAGGACTTCAGGAATGCCAGGAGTCGGTCCCTGCTCAATAACTGCTTTCCGTCAGGGTACCTTGGGTTTCCTCGCTCCGCGCGCTGCGCGGTGGCCTCCCGTGGCCGTCGAAGGAGCTGCTGCGCTCAGGGTGCCCGGGGCTCCCCCCACTTGCATCTCGCGCCTGCGGGTTTCAGGGCCCGGTTTCTTGTGAGGGTCTCTTGCGGCCGCGCCCGCACTGTAGGTTTGTGTCTTGCCGACCGGCGGCGAGCCCGCCGCCGGCGTTTTGCGTGGAACGCCAGCGGAGACCTAGAATTATGGTCGATGTTGAACGATCGGGCATTTCGGAAACGGCCCGTCGTTCAAGGTGGAACGATCCCCGCGGTGTCAGAAGCCAGCGTCGAGGTCGGCACGTCACGAACCTTCCGCAGCGCGGCCAAGCGATCAATAAATGCCCAGGGGAAGTGTCGCTGCGCCACACTGGGAAGTGGACGATTAAAAGGGTGTTCCCAGTTTGCCGTCGGTGTCGCCGCGGAGGCCGCCAGGCCGCAGCCAGCGTCCCAGACGACAAACACACATTCAAGAGGCCGACGCCATTCCGCCGACCCCAGGAGGAGGAAGTAAGTGCACGGGTCAGGCCTTGCGGGGCCTCTTGGGATGGTGTGGGGGAGTTTCGTGCACATCTTCGGCGCGCTTCGGGACATCTTGGTGGTTTCGTGGGCAGCCGCTGGCGGTTTCGGGTGTCCTCTTGGGGTGCAGGGCTGGAAGTGTCAGTTTGAGTTATTCCTGGTGTTTTTTTGGAGGTGTCTCGGGTACCCCGTGGGCGCCTCTTGGGCCGTGTGGGGTTTGGGAGCTCTGTTGGATTGGCTTGGAGACCCCTGCGGCTGTGTGGGAGCTCTCTTGGGCCGTTTGAGGGTGCCTCGAGGGGGGCGCAAGGGGATATGCCGAGACCAGTGGCACAGAGCGCGTAGAGCCGCGTGACGTGTCGTGCACTGAGCAGACGAACGCACTCTGTGGCATGACGAAGACTGGACAGGGAGGGTTGCGGAAGGGCAGGGCACGACGAGTATGGGGAGGCGGAGGAGGAGGGGGAGGAGGGGAAGGAGGGGGAGGGGGAGGGGGAGGGGGAGGGGGAGGAGGAGGAGGAGGAGGGAGAGAGGAGGAGGAGGGAGGAGGAGGAGGAGGAGGAGGAGGAGAGGATGAGGAGGAGGAGGAGGAAAGGGAGAAGGAGGAGGCGGAGGAGGAGTACAGGAGGAAAAGGAAACACACATGAGAAGGAGGAGGCGGACGGAAGGGAGACGGGGAGCCCACCCAGAGAAGGAATGGGAGTTTGCGACGATCGTGGAAGTGATCGAGTTGTGAGGAGCCTTTGCGACGTAAGCGAAGGGCTCATGGGATGCTTCTCAGGGGTCTCTTTGAGAGCTCGTGGAAGCATCTGTGGAGGCTTAGTCATGCTTTGTGGAAGCGTTTTGGGCATTCCTGGAGGCTTTGTGGAGGCCTCATTGGGCCTTCTTGGAGGGCTCTTGGGCGCATCTGGGGGGCCTTTCGGGGCGTCTTGAGGGCCCCTAGGGAGCCTCTGGGAGGCTTTTTGGACCTCTGGGGGGCACCTCGGGGGCCTCTGGGGATCTCTCTTGGAGCCATCTTGGGGTGAACTGCTCGAAATGTCAATACGTATTCCCTCTCTTGTGCCCCTCTTTGGGCCCTCTTGGCGCTCTTTTGGGCTGTCTTGGGAGCCCTTAGGGCCGTCATGGGGCCCTTTTGGGTTTCTTGGGGCTCTCTTGGGGCCTCGTGGGTCGTCTTGGGACGATGTTGGACGCTATCCACATGAAACAGGGAAGTTTGCTAATCATGCACGTTTTCCGAAGGGGATGGGCGATGTTTGCCTCTCGAGGCCCCTCCGATGGTCATCTGGCAGCACTCGTGGGCCCTCCTGGGGGCTTCGTTGGGCGCCTCCGGGGGTACCCTGGGCCGGGTCGACGCTCTCTTGGATTGCCTGGGCGCTCTGTGTGGGCCCTCTTGGGCAGCATTCGGGCTCGTCGGAGGCTCCAGAAGCCCCGGGGAGAAGCGCTGGCGAGCTCGTAGGCCCAGGTCGCACCCCCCTCGAACGGCATTTTGCATCCCAGGGGGAAGGAGGAGGAGGAGGAGGAGGAGGAGGAGGAGGAAGAGGAGGAGGAGGAGGAGCAGCAGCAGGAGGAGGAGGAGGAGGAGGAGGAGGAGGAATAGGAGGAAGAGAAGGAGGAGGAGGAGCAGCAGGAGGAGGAGGAGGCGGAGGAGGAGGAGGAGGAAAGGGGAAGGGGGACAGCCAAGAGACTCTCACATGTTCACACCCAGTCACCCCCCTGCAAGCGGGGTCGGCGGATGTGTTTATGGTCGGGAACTTTGGGATAGCGTGTCGCCCCGGCGGTTCTGGCCCACCACGCTGTGGCGCGACATGCTATCCGCTTCCCGTCCCCCACGCGTCCGCGTCCTGAGCTTGTCCAATCTCCCCGCCCCGCGGAGCGGAGCAACACACGATCCGCTCGCATGGCATAGCGCGTCGCTGGGGCCGCCCGGGCGCTGCGCTGTGCAGAAGTTCCTGCCCTGCGCGCTTCGTCCTGCAAGGCCGCTTGGCCGCTGCCCACTGCCGTGGCCTCGCTTTCGACCTGGGACGCCCCTCGGCGTGACGCACCGCGGCCGCCGCTCTGCGCGAGGGGCGCCGGGAGCGGGCCTCGGGGGGCCGGGGGGCTTCCCCTCCCGGGCCTTTCCCTCCCCCGACGGCCGACGTATAGACAGCGGCCACGAGAGGCGACGATGACGACGAGCGTGGCGAGGCCGACCGACCGCGGGGGGCGAGGACGTAAGGCCGCGGGGGGCGACGGGGGAGTCGCGACGGAGTGACGATGCGGGGGCGCCGGTCCGGCGAGCCGAGGTCGAAAGCCAGGACGACGCGGGCGACAGCGACGACGACGACGGCGGCGACGGCGGGCGACGGACGACGGACGACGGTTGACGGACGAGGGACGCACGGACGCCGGTTGACGGACGACGGATGATGACGATGACACGACGGACGATGACGGACGACGGACGACGGTCAACTGACGATGGACGACGGACGACGGACGACGGACGATGGACGACGGGCGACGGACGATGACGATGGACGACGGACGACGGACAACGACGACGACGACGACGACGACGACGACGACGACGACGACGACGACGACGACGACGACGGGCGACCGACGACTACCGACTACCGAATACCGACGACGACCGTGGTCGTCCTCGTCGGGGGGGTGCATCTCGAGGGGGAGAGCGGCAGCTGCCGAGGGGAAGGAGTCCAGGGACCGTCCCACTTGGGCACTTCGCCCCGCACCCTGGCAACCTCTGGCATGCTTTTTCCCAATCCGCGGCCCCAGAGCTCCCCAGGGGTAGCTTATTGTCTTGGGCCCACTTTCGATGGCCCGGGTCCCGATAACGGAGGCCCCAGAAACTGATTTTTTTTCCCAACCATCCTGTGGTGTTGAGTCCTCGTTTTGAAGAGACGGTCCCCGCGTTCCCTCCGTCCTTCCTCCTCCCTCCTCCTCCTCCTCCTCCTCCTCCTCCTTCTTCTCCTCCTCCTCCTCCTCCTCCTCTTCTCCTCCTCCTCCTCCTCCTCCTCCTCCCTCCTCCCATTCCTGCCTCTGCTCTCCGCATGTCCAGCATTTTCGGCACACCCCTCGCACGTTTCGTGGACCCATAGGGAGCTCCACCGGCGCCCCCACTGGCACCGCCCGCGTGCGTCAGCGCCACCCAGTACAGCGCTTCGTGGTCCCATAGGGAGCTGCACCGCAGGCCCCAGTGGGACCGCCCGCGTGCGTCAGCCACCACCCAGTACAGCGCTTCGTGGTCCCATAGGGAGCTGCACCGCAGGCCCCAGTGGGACCGCCCGCGTGCGTCAGCCACCACCCAGTACAGCGCTTCGTGGTCCCATAGGGAGCTGCACCGCAGGCCCCAGTGGGACCGCCCGCGTGCGTCAGCCACCACCCAGTACAGCGCTTCGTGGTCCCATAGGGAGCTGCACCGCAGGCCCCAGTGGGACCGCCCGCGTGCGTCAGCCACCACCCAGTACAGCGCTTCGTGGTCCCATAGGGAGCTGCACCGCAGGCCCCAGTGGGACCGCCCGCGTGCGTCAGCCACCACCCAGTACAGCGCTTCGTGGTCCCAGGGAGCTGCACCGCAGGCCCCAGTGGGACCGTCCGCGTGCGTCAGCCACCACCCAGTACAGCGCTTCCTGGTCCTATAGGGAGCTCTGCCGAATTGGGTGTGGCTGACGCGTGCAGGCGTTGGCACTGGGGCCTTCGGTGGAGCTCCCCATGGGGCCACGAAACTTGTGAGGGGTGTGCCGACATGGGTTTGGGGGACGCAGGCGGACGCAACCATTGGGGCCTTCGGTGGAGCTCCATATGGGGCCCCGAAGCGTGTGAGGGGTGTGCCGAAATGGGTGTGGCTGGCCCATGCGGGCGGTGGCACTGGGGCCTTTGGTGGAGCTCCCTATGGGGCCACGAAGCGTGTGAGGGGTATGCCGACATGGGTGTGGGGGACGCATGGGGGTGCAGCCACTGGAGTCTTCGGTGGAGCTCCTTCCTATGAGGCCACGAAACGTGTGAAGGGTGTGCCGAAGTGGGTGTGGCTGACGCGCGCGGGCGGTGGCACTGAGGCCTTCGGTGGAATTCCCTATGTGGCCACGAAACGTATGAGGGGTGTGCCGAAGTGGGTGTGGCTGACGCATGCGGGCGGTGGCACTGGGGCCTTCGGTGGAGCTCCCTATGGGGCCACGAAACGTGTGAGGGGTGTGCCGAATTGGGTGTGGCTGACGCATGCGGGCGGTGGCACTGGGGCCTTCGGTGGAACTCCCTATGTGGCCACGAAGCGTTGTACTTGCTTGGCGAAACGCAGGGTGGAAGGAGGAGGGGGAGGAGGAGGGAGGAGGAAGGAAGGAGGGAGGGAAGAAGGGATGGTTCGCGGGGACCGCCGATTCGAAACGAGGGCCCAAGACCACAGGATGGCTGGGAATTATAACGAACAACCCAGGGATGAACAACAACTATCGACGGGGGTTGAAATAAAGGAAAAAACATGATCGGAGATCTGCAGCACGAGCTTCCAGCGGGGCCCACGGTGGCCCCGGGCGGCTTCTGCGTGCCCTCCCCGCGGGAGCCTCGCAGCGGGCTCCAGAGGCCCCCACGGCATGCCCTGTTCCCGGGGGGGCGGCCTCGGGACCCCCTGAGAGGGACCTCTCGGTGGGGCATTTTTGGTCGTGGGGGGCGAAGTGCCGGGGGGGACCGAGGATTGCAGGCAAAGGGGCCCGAAAGGGGCCCCACGGGGGCCCCGAGGGTGCACGAAAGGTGCACCCTTTTCCACCCCCGACGTATTGCCCCGCCGCGAAGCAGCGCCCGACTCGAGGCCTCCCAGGGCCTCCGTGCTGCGGTAATGCCCCGCAGTGGCATCCCGGAGGGCTCCCCGCGAGCGTGTCGAGCGCCGGGCCCCCGCCCACAGGAGCAGCCTCCGGGGCTGCGGGTCCTGGAGGCGCTCGTCTGGGCGGCTCCCAGCTGGCGTCTGCTACGCACCGTCTCCACGACAGCCACTGTGCACCGTCTCCAAACGGCGCCGCCGGCGCGGCGCATAGCGCAGCTCCCCAGGGTGCCCGACTAAGTCGGGCGGCACCTCCGGGCGCTTGCGTCTGCGCTGGTCGCTCGAGCCGGCTCGTCAACAAATTATCCTGGCGAAGGACCCAGCCATATGCAGTTGTGAGTAACGCGTTGTGGGTGCCGCTTTCGGTGGAGCTTATGGGGCTACGAAGCGCGTGAGGGACGTGCCGTAATGGCGTAATGGGTGGGGGAGACGCACGCGGGCGGTGCCACTGGAGCCTTCGGTGGGGCTCCCTATGGGCCACGAAAGGCTGTACTGGGTGTGGCGGACGCATGCGGGCGGTGCCCCTTGCTGGAGCTCCCGATGGGGCCACGATTGGGGGGACGCATGCGGGCGCTGCCACTGGGGTCTGTGCTGGGTGGTGGCCGACGCATGCGGACGGTCACACTGGGACCATCGGTGGAGTTCCCTGTGGGGCCACGAAACGCTGTACTTGGTGGTGGCTGACGCATGCGGGAGGTCACACTGGGACCTTCGATGGAGTTCCCTATCGGACCACGAAGCGCTGTACTGGGTGGTGGCTGATTCATGCGGGCGGTGCCACTGGGGCCGTCGGGAGGAGGAGGAGGCGGAGGAGGAGGCGGAGGAGGAGGAGGATGAGGCGGAGGAGGAGGAGGAGGAGGAGGAGGAGGAGGAGGAGGAGGAGGAGGAGGAGGAGGAGGAGGAGGAGGAGGAGGAGGAGGAGGAGAGGAGGAGAGGGAACGCGGGGACCCTCTCGTCAAAACGAGGGCCCAACACCACAGGATGGTTGGGACAAAAAGCACCGTCTCCATGGCAGCCGCTGTGCAGTTTCGCAGCCCTCTTGTGGGCCGCAGTTGCTTTTGGCGACTGCGTACTGCACATGTGTGGACAGCCGCTGCCACCATCTCGTTCGCAATGGCACGAGGTTTCGCGTTCTGGCGGTGTGTGTGTGTGTGTGGAGAAAAACAGGACTGACGTTTCTCACAGAAACGGTCTTGGGCGTTTGCTGAACTGTCCTGCCCTGGTCGAGTCCTTCCCTGGGTGCGTTTGCTGAAGGCTTTGCTAAGGGTCTCTTGCCTTGGCGGCGCACTGCGGACGCAACATAGTGTCGCCGAATGCAGGGGGATGCCAACCCGTCGGTTTTCCATCGCCACTCCTCTCTGTGCCTCCTTCCCTTCCCCCCTCCATCTCCTCATGGGTGCAGCGATGTATTTGTAGTCCCTTGGGCAGCTCGGTGAAGCCGCCGTTCGAGGCGACTTGGCCTTGCAGCGTTTATAGCTGCCCGTACTTCCACCACGCAGTTGAATCATAGTATCCGCTCAAAAACAGAGCAGTGATACGCCCCTCCAGGAAGGGGAATAAAGGGGATTTGAAAAAAGACCCCCGTAATCCATTCACGCCCTGAAGGGCTAGTGGGAGTCGACGCGTTCGGTGCTCATGGCATCCAACTACTGTGATTTGTGCATGGTGTGGACCGACAGGGTTTCACTTTAGCTTGCTCGCCACATGCAATCACGGATTAGTTCTGAATGCGATGTTCGCTCCAGAGAGGGGTGCCCGAGGAAGAGAAGCCGAAGGCAGAGAAAAAGGCGGTCGAGGAGGATGACGATGGCTGGGAGAAGGTTGCCGAGAAGGAAGACTCCGAGAAGGAGGACGAGAAGGAGGAAGCTTCTGAGAAGGGCTCGGACGACGACTCCGAGAGGCGCGGGCTGCTTTTGGCTGGGCCGCAGCCTTGAGACCAATTATGTTTTACTCCTCGTATGATAACGGGCGTGACCGGGGGAGTGGGGAGGGGTGGGGGGTGGTTGCAGACGTCGTGATTCGCGCCAGCGCCGTCTCGGATTGCCTGCGGACGGCTCATTCCCACACGGTGTCGGCGTGAATTGGGACGTGATCGGGGGGGCGGTCAAGGGCGTTATCGCGAGCTCCTTGAGACTACAGTCGAGCATCTGATAAAAAGAACCTCGCCCCGAAACATTTGAATTATCCCAGTGCGACCCTACCTAGGAGTTGGAGCCCCTAGGAAAGCAGCATTAGCAGTAGCAGTAAAGCTAAGCTAAAGCTTAGCTGAAGCTAAGCTAAAGCTAAGCGAAAGCTAAGCTAAAGCTAAGCTAAAGCTCAGTTAAAGCTGAGGTAAAGCTAAGGTAAAGCTAAGCTAAAGTTGAGCTAAAGCTTAGCTAAATCTGAGCTAAAGCTAAGCGACAGCTAGGCTAAAGCTAAGCTAAATCTAAGCTAAAGCTAAGCTAAAGCTAAGCTAAAGCTAAGCTAAAGCTAAGCTAAATGCTAAGCAAATTCTAAGCTAAAGCTAAGCTAAGCTAAATCTAAGCTAAAGCTAAGCTAAAGCGAAGCTAAAGTTAAGCTAAAGCTAAGCTACAGCTAAGCTAAAGCTAAGCTAAATCTAAGCTAAATCTAAGCTAAAGCTAAGCTAAAGCTAAGCTAAAGCTACGGCAAAGCTAAAGCTAAAGCTAAAGCTAAAGCTCCCAGGGGACTGGGGGAACCGCAGGGCGGGGACTGGGGGAACCGCCCGGGGCGAGTTCCACTGCCCGGCCCCTTTAAGCTAAGAGAGTAAGAACCCTCTAGGCGGAGCCTAGGTAGGGAACAACTTGCCGAAAAGCTGTCCCAGTTTCTTGAGAACGTTCGCCCCTCCAGTGCTAGCATCAGAAGCTGGCCAAGGCGTGTTGATATAAACTTTTCGGAACCTGGCCGCGATTTATTGGATGGTATTTGGTTTGATGGTATTTTCGGTTGTTGGCATCTGCAGGCACGTCAATTGTCGCGTGCCTCTGGATGCACGGGGCGCGGACGTCTCACAGAGGCGAGGCGGCCAGGCGGCAGGTGCTTCCCCGTTCCCCCAGACGCGCGCGCGCGCGCTCAAGGAGAGCCTTGCTCGCCCTGATGAGCTTCGGGATCTCGCAGAGGGGGGGAGTGCCCCAGTAGGGTGTGAGTTCGATCGGTTTTTGCACTGAACCGCCCAAAAGAGATGCCCCCTAGCCGCCGACAGCTCCCGATAGTTGCCGATAGGTGGGGCATACAGGGGGGCATCTCTTAGCAGCAGTTCCGAAAGAATCAACACTTGTGCCGTGCCTTGCCCCCCTCGAGGAGGAGCACGAGGAGCAGGAGCACGCGGCGGCCGAACGCGCAGCGAGGGAGCATGCCCCCCCCCTCAGGGTCACCCCTATTTGGTGGATCCCGGCCATACAAAGGCACATTCAATGTTCCACATAGGAGGCTCCACATGTGCGGCTTCACATGTGAGGCTCCACATGTGAGGCTCCACAGATGAGGCTCCATACAGCACGCGCAGGCACACATCGCGCCGTTCTTGCGTCCTAGTCGTCGTCTCCTCCCTCCTGTCGTCCCTCTTCCCCTTCCCTCTGCTGTGTTCGAGTTGTGCTGCGGCTCTTCCAATGCAGCCGCACATCGCCGATACGCATAGGCCAGACCCTATCCTTTCAGGCACTGTCGGAGGTGCCACCCGCCCCTGGACCCCTTTGTCAACGCGGTGGCGGAAGCAGACACACATACTGAGGCACATACGAGGTTCCACAGATGAGGCTCCGCATGTGAGGTTCCACGCGCACAGGGTTCACACCGCCAGGGCTCCGCGCACATGATGGCATCCCACGCGCATGGGGTTCCACAGACTCTCGAGTCCCCACACATGGGGTTCCACGCACGTGGGGATCCACACGCGTGCGAGTCCAGATGGAGTTGCACACGCGTCGGCCTCCACATCCATGGGCCTCCGCACGCACTGGGATCCACACCCATGGGGCTTCACGTGTGCCACACGCCCAGGATCTTGCAGACTCGTGGCGCGAGGGAGCTGCTCGGGCCCCCGCGCCGGCACAGGTTGTGCCCTCCCCGCCCGAGCTCTTTCGGGGCAGCGCTCTCGCTCCGAGGCGGGAATTCATCCATATCCACCGCCTGGAGGGTCAGTTTTCGGAGCCTCGGCAGGCGGTGGATATGGACAGATTCGGGCCCCTGGGGGCCGATATATATTATATATAATTATATATATATCTAATATAATATGTATGTAGGTAGGTAGGTAGGTAGGTAGTAGGTAGGTAGGTAGGTAGGTAGGTAGGTAAGTAAGTAAGTAAGTATGTATGTATGTATGTATGTATGTATGTATGTATGTATGTATGTATGTATGAAAGAGCGTTTCTACCGCTGCTGGCGGAAAACCGGGGGGGGTCACTACCGGTTCGACCCCTCCCCCCCCCCTCCGGAAAACCGGGGGGGGTCACTACCGGTTCGAACCCCTCCTCCCCCCCCCCCCCCCCCCCCTGCTCATCATGAAAAGGGGGGGGGGTCACTACCGGTTCGAACCCCTCCCCCCCCCCCCCTCCGAATCCGGAAAACCGGGGGGGGTCACTACCGGTTCGAACCCCCCCCCCTCGAAAACCGAGTGGGGGTGCGGACAGTGGTGGGGACGGTGTTGGTGGGGACAGTGGTGAGGGGATAGCGGGACAGTGGTGGGGACAGTGGGACAGTGGGACAGTGGTGGGGACGGTAGTGGTGGGGACAGTGGTGGGGACAATGGTGGGAACAGGGGGGGACAGTGGACAGTGGTGGTGACGGTGGTGGTGGGGACAGTGGTGTGGGGACAATGGGAATGAGGTGGAAACAGTGGGACAGTGGAGGGTACAATGGTGGTGGGGACAGTGGTGAAGGCGGTGGCGAGGACGGCGGTGGGACAATGGGACAAAGGTACAGTGGGGACAGTGGTGGGGACAGTGGGGACAGTGGTGGGAACAGTGGGACAGCTCAGTGGGACAGCGGAGGAGTCAGTGGGACAGTGGGGACAGTGGGGATAGTCGGGCAGTGGTTGGGGCCGTGGAGACAGTGGGGAGAGTGGAACCGTGGTGGGAACAGTTCTGGGGACAGCGGGGACAGTGCGACAGTGGTGGGGCCACTGGTGGGGACAGTAGGGGCGGTGGTGGAACCAGTGGGGACAGCGGTGGTGAGGACAGTGGTGCTGGGAACACCAGTGGGGGATGTGATGCGGACGGTGGTGGGGACCGGGAGTCGTTTGCTGGCGGTGAGTAGGGGGGGGGGGGGGGGGGGGGGGGGGGGGGGGTGTTCGAACCGGTAGTGACCCCCCCCAGTTTTCCGGATCCGGAGGGTAGGGGGGGGGGGGGGGAGGGGTTCGAACCGGTAGTGACCCCCCCGGTTTTCGAGCGGGAAGGGGGGGGAGGGGTTAGGGGAGGGGGGGGTTTTGCCGGGGGAGAGGGGGGGAGGGGGGGGGTTCCAGCAGGGGGGGGGGGATTTTCGGAGGGGGGGGGGGGGCGACCCCCGGGTTCCGGAGGAAAAGGTTGGCAATTTTCCAACAGTAAAGCGGCGGTGGATCACGCTCTCTCGCTGTTATGTATGTATGTATATGTATGTATGTATGTATGTATGTATGTATGTATGTATGTAGTTATGTATGCATGCATGTATGTATGTATGTATGCATGTATGTATGTATGTATGTATGTATGTAGGTAGGTAGGTAGGTAGGTAGGTAGGTATGTATGTCTGTGTGTATGTGTGTATGTATGTATGTATGTATGTATGCATGTATGTATGTATATATGTATGTGTGTGTATGTATGTATGTATGTATGTATGTATGTATGTATGTATGTATGTATGCATGCATGTATGTATGTATGTATGTATGTATGTATGTATGTATGTATGTATGTATCTATATATATATATATCCATATCCATATCCACCGCCCGCTGGGGCACCAGGACGGCGGTTCCCAGGCGGTGGATATGGGTAAACCCCCGCCTCGCACCCGCGGCCGGCGGCCTCCGTGCTGCCGCGCTGCCGGAGTTCTCCTCCTCCCTCGGTGCCGCTCCGAGTCCGCGGCGGAGGCCCGTCGCGGCCGGCGGCCATCGCGCTGCCAGTGCTCCACCTCTCAAGCAGTGGCGAAGCGTCCCGGCTCGCCTATAGCCCCACCAAGCAATTTTCTAAGAGCTTTGTGTGGTTCCCACGAACTGTTCTTAGAACAATTCTGGCTGGCACTGTCTTGTTTCAACACATCGGGCTTATGTTCTAAGAACATTGTTGTTGTTTTTAGAACATTTTGGTGTTCTAATAACATTTCGTGGTTTGGCTATAGGAATGCCGGGACGGTCGGTCCCTGCTCAAGAGCAGCTCCTCGCCGCCGAACGCGAAGGAGCGACCATCTCTTCCTCGGCGGACGGGCGGCGGAATCCGGCCAGCGGCCAGGGTCGGACTTCGATCGCGCCGCGCGGTTTGCTCGCTTGTCGCTGGCGCCCCCGCGAGACTTCCTGGGCAGTGGGCGTTGCGTCCCCTCACAAACGGGAAGCGAAGCGGGGGCGACTCCGCCGGCGGAAGCTCGGCGGCAGGCGGCGGAAGCAACGCCAGCCCCCCCTCCCCCCCCAGCAATGGCAGCTCTGGGGGATCCGGGGCTCCTGGAGTCCGCCGCGTGGCGCGGCCAGCCTGGGCGGAAGCTGGATGCACGCGTGGCGGCAGAGGTCCCTCCTCTGGCGCTCGGCCCGTCTACGGCAGGGGGTACGCCAGCACTCCGCACGGGCATCTGGCGCGCGGCTTCCGCACGTTCCACATGAATCCAGCACTGTGTGTGTATGGATCTCGCCTCTTTTTTTTGTTGTTCTCTCTCTCTCTCTCACGTGCACTGCGGCTTAATTTGCACTTTCTGCGCCGCACTAATGCCA